AAACAAGTATTTGCCCCAGAGGGGAGCTTCGAGGGCAAATTTGCAAGTTTCAAGAACATCACATTTCCAACTATTGGACACTGTTAGGCAACTATTGGACCATCAGACCGTAGACATTAGTCACACAGAAGCTTTACACTTGGATTTATGAACTATTTGTACGGATCTCTCACTCCATTAGTTAGTTCTCCGGGACATTCTCTCTCGTTCCCAAGCAGTAATGCAAGCTTGCCCTCTCCCCCAAATAAACAAACAAATATACACTGATGCCTTTTATTCCCACATTTTTATTAATTACACCACAGGAAGAGGCTAGTATTACAGGAGCAATTTAAATTTCTACCCAAACTGAAGGACTGTATACAACTTGTATCCGGCACCCTTAGCTTAACAGAGCTACGTCACGGTTTGCACATCTCGAAAAGTTTAGGCTAGATTTCTCAAGTTCGTCGTTTGTAATCCGTGTTAATCTTCACCATCCTAAACCATCCTTGTTACTTTATGGTTAACAAGTATCTCTTTGATGCTTTTCTATCTTAACTTGGTAAACTATTATTTTCAGGTTTCCTTTAATTTAAAGGTAATTTTGTACGCGGCCAAAATAACTCAAAACACCGTGACCAAGCTCCTTTAACACCTTATGCATGTTTGTCCCTTGCTCTATGTTTGCACGGCTCCAAACCCATTACGTTTACTGCAGGAGCATCAACCTATCAGATTAGGAAAAAACTGAATGATTAACTCTGGCAAGAAATCCTTAGGCCATGAAAGCAGTTAGGAGAGCTCAGCTCCAGTAAAATTTTGTAATAAATTTGAATGGATGCTCCTCTAGTATTTTACTCTAACTTTTACCAATATTAATGAAATGATCGAGTTTCCATCGGTTGCACCTGAAGAGTGAGTTGGGATTATATCATGTAAAAAAACTAGTGCGTCAGGACCTGATTTAGACGGGAAGGGGGTGGGGATGGGGGAGAATTGGGTGGCTAGCCACCCCCGTTTTGGAGAAGCAAAACATAAAAAAATTAGAAAAATGTTGTAAATATTATGGCAGAAATAAATACAAACTCTCTGGACAGGTATCCCGTTGCAATTTCTACTTTGTGGCTTTGTGAAACGGTTTTCAAATTAGGTTCCAATTCTCAAATTGCGACATTTTGGGAGCATGCCTCCATTGATTTTGCAGCCCCAAGGTACCAGCCACTCCTCCCCCACTTTTGAAAAATCCTAGATCCTGGGTACGACGTACCAAAACATAACCTGAGCGCTTGTTTGCACGGGGTTTAATACAATCACGTTGTTATTATACTTCTAGTTACTTACTCGTAAGGAGTGGCACATAGTATCTCTATTTGTTTCCTTTCGCTACGTTTCTCCCCAGATAACTGTGCTTGAAAGTCCAACCCTCGTCATCTAAAAATGTTTTAGTGACAATAGATAAAATGCAATAATTACGCAGGGTAAACCGAAGAAAATGTGCCCGTTACAACTAGGCTTGATGTAACCCAAGGCTTGCTTCATTTAATTCTAACACTGTTAAAAAAGATCACTTTTTACTTTATTGTGAAATAACTGAATGGGTGTAAAGTGCATTACAAAGAGAAATAAATATTCTCTTTCACTAATTTAAAAACTGGGCCAAATTCAATTAGTTTCTTTAGGATCGGTATTTTTTGATGGAAACAATACTTTTATCAGTAGTAGTTAATGACGCTTTTCAAGTTGGTGGTAACGTTATCTAGGCAAGCCTTGTCAGTCTATCTAAGTTTGAGGACCGTAGGTTTCACTACTCGCTATTGAAAGACCAAGGCTCCGAACAATACATAACTAAGTCGAATTCTTACTTCCTGGACAGGGCTTGTCATTACAAGCCCTGGTCTCCTGCAGGGGGCCATCACAGTCTTCTCCGTACCCCTGGGGAGGAGGGTTAGTACAGGTTCTGGTTCTTGTTTGGACTCCGCCACCACAAGTCAGGCTGCAGTCGGACCAGAAACCCCAGCGAGAGAATTCACCATCCACACCTGTAAACACGGTGAACAATATATTTTGGGTTTAACGGGGCCGGATAAAACTTTATGGTAGATAATCACCCTATAATATTATAAGAGGTCGACCTTCCGTTTATTCGATTATCTCGAGGCAAAACCGATTCTGGTGAACATTTGCACTAAAATTTCTTGTTCACACATTGGCAAATTCATATCGATAAGAAGAGTACATAAACATAGTTCATGCCATCACGTGCGGATCTAGATGTCGTTGTCAGTTCCCGATATAAATATATCAAGATAAACTGCATCTTAACGGGCGTTCTTTAGGGACAAAAATCCCCAGAATCGTTTAACATGACTCTTAATTCAGTTTGGAAAGCCAGGGGGTAGAAGAGGTGTTATTAAAAACTGAATCATTGGATATATTGCAATTCGAGATTTTTCATTGGCTTAGCCATCATAGTTATAAGCCATTATACTATACTCTAAAAATATAGTAAGCGTATGCGTGATTTCTTGGGGCGTTTTTAATTTTATTTTAGTCAAGCTTTCTATATTTTGGGAGGCGTTTTTTAACAAAACAATTATTCCACTCGCGCTTGACATGTTGGATATGAGATAATTATAGCGAACTCGGCTCTACGCGCCTCGCTGGCTATCCACCATCTCATATCCAACGCGCGCTCGTGGAATAATTGTTAATTTGTCACAGTTTGACTATGTTCAAAGTTACTGTTTTGATGCTGGTGGACTGAGATGGTTCATGATCCACCGAGTTTTCAAACATTTTCTCAAGTTATAAAGTCCAGTTGCAGAATTTCCGTTTCTGCATTGTAGTTTAGGGCTATTGCGCAAAGCTTCGTGAGTTTTGGAATTATTTCAGCTTATTTTGGCTAGAAGAAATTCAGGTCCTCTCGCACTTATACCTTTGCGTCAGTCGATTCTTAGTAAATGGTTTAAACCCAAGAGGATCAGTTGTTCGTCTCTTGAGTTTTCTTCGTCTCGTCAATTGTCTCGTCTCGTGAGCAATCTTGTACGTGAAGTTAGTTCTGTTAAGAGCTGTTGTTGGTGACTGATGTTTAGAAAATTTCTCAGGATATGTGTCATATTCAGAGTCAAGCCTGAAAAGCGTCACTCGATGGTGTTGTGTTAGTCTGGCCCCTTGAAACTTATTGGTTAGTTACGCCGTGATGGCATTGGCGGTAAGACTCGTGTATAGAAAGCCACCGTCAACAATTATTGGCCAGTTCTAGTAAGCTTCGTTCCTTCTATTGCTTTTCAAATTATGTCTATCTGTTTGAGTTTCGTCCGTCGATTTTGTTAAGTGCTGAATAAGTCGCTTGCACTAAGGTTCCGTAGTTGTCAGCAGCTGTTGAGAAGCGTTCGCGCTAAGTTGATGTACCAGCCCCCCCTGCCCCGAGGGGGACGAGATTTCCATATGAAAAGGTCGGTGATGCTCGTCGGAAAATTTGAGCAATATTTGGACTCGAGAGACCGGCGGAAATCAAGCCTAAAAACGGAAATGAAAGCATCTATCTTATGTTTATTATTACACTTTCTTCGAGTGCACCCTAAAAAAACACTTCGACAGCTAAAACTAGTGGCGTTTCATCAGCAACACCCTAAGTGAGACCAGAATCTTTGATTTGTGCCACTACGCGAGAGTCCCCCCCGGGTACCAGCCTTGCTGGGTCAATTGTTAAAAAAATTGTTGTTGCAGGTTAAGCACTGACCAGAGTCCCAAACAATTCTGTGGTTTGTAAGTTGATTACTGTTCAGTAATGCGAACTACTGTTGTACCCAATTACACTGAACGTGTTCTATTCTCTAGTCGGGAGTCAACTACCCTCAATCGTTTTGGCTTTTGTTATTGTAAAAACAAATACATGCCAACTTTGTATGCGGTCATCCTCTTATCGATGGTAAATTCCGAGGGGGGGAAGACTCCTACACATCCTCAAAAGGGTGCGAGCGGGAGCTTTCGCGATACCTTTTAGGGTAGCGAGCAGAAGGAAATATGACAGGTGATAATGTGTTGTTTTAGAATTGGTACTCTTAAGGGGGAAAAAAAAAAAAAAAAAAAAAATAAAGCATCGATCACAAAACAGGATCTTGGTACCTCTTAGGGGTCTCCCCGAGGGACCATTTCGTCATCATCACGGTAATCTGTGGATTCACGAGGCTACGCCTCGTGGATTCACAACTGCTCTGACAATGCTCTGACGTGAATTACAATTAGAATACAAACGCACAAAATGCTGGCGGCAATTTGTTAAGCTCCTTTAAAAACAAATCACTGAGTATACTCACTGCATGTTTCAGTCAGAATGTCAAGGAACAAATTCGACAGGTCTTCAAAGTTGCTTGTATTGTAAACATTTTTTCCTGCGATTTCTTCCAACTGTCCTTGGAAATTCTCATAGTCGCCAACTCCAATAGCAATAATGCGAACCTTTTTGGCCTTTGGACGGAAAAGAGATAATATAAAGAAGTGAGTGATTATTGGAACCTTTCTGTGTTTGAAAACACCAATAAAGTAAACTATTTAGAAGCATTAGGCTGGGGGGGGGGGGAGTTACCACCCGGGTCGGGGTACTCCCTTACTCCCTTGTACTTTACAGGTATGTGTGGCCCCAAAAGGTATGTTTTTTTAGCCGTTTTGGTCAGAAGTAGGATTTCGACTTTGGCCATTGTGATCTCAAATAGAGTATGGTTTTTGTACTCTAGTCTTATATTGAGTATGCTTTTTAGAAGAAGCTACTCTACCTAATAAAAGTATATTATCATTGCAGGTCTGAAACAGGGCATTGATATAAGGGTCAGGTCTTAAATAGGGTACAAATTTTTGGTCAGGTCATAAATAAGGTAGGGAAAACTTGTTGCAGATTTTGGTCTTAAATAGGGTAAGAGTTTTGAGAAACGGGCCGCACACCCCCGCCCAATGTCTCTGGGAGTTCCTCTCCGGGCTTCTCACACAACTCTGCTTGTATAATACTTGATAACATTCGTTTTTTGTAGTTTTAATCTGTGAGCTTTCTACGCTGAAGAATCTGATGTCTTATTAACTGTAGCTTTTAAGGACAGACGGTGTTCACGTGAAGCTACCTGCTTTAAATTATTGTAGGTTTTTTTTCAGACAAGGTTCCAGACTGTCCTAATAGTAACGGTAGGAATTCAACGTTTTGTAAGTTTAAAAAATGTGGAAAGGGGTAATGGGGTGATAAGATGAAGAATATCAAACGGTAAGGAAGCTGGAATTTTGCAGCACGATAACATAACGAATTTCAATCCCAGTTGAAACTTGCGAGTGCATGCAGCAGCGAACATGCACGAGTAATGTAAACCAACAATGAGGAGGTAACTGTAAGCTAGATAACTATGTTATAACTGTAACTGTATGATAACTGTGCATGAAAGCTAGTTCAGTTGGCTCTGTTTTATCTTCAGTTGTCTCTGTCCGTCGATGACTGAGAGATTCTTGGTTTTTAATTTAATGAATTTAAGCCCCCTTTTTTGTTCGCCTCTGGGCAACACAAACCATAGATTCGGGCAGTTAGATTATCTATTAATCGTCTATAAATTCTTGAGAGCTTTTGGTTAATGCTGTTTACTTTTTTGTTGCTTGGTGATGATAACCAGCAATCAGGGCAAAAGAGCAACACTACGCTAAGTTTGAACCTAACCTTTAGCAGAGGGATTATCTGGTTGAATGGTCTGGAGTCAACATTGGTCCTTCCATCCGTGAAAAGAATTAGAACATTTGGAAACTTCGGCCGGTCCCCCTCCTTCTCCGTAAAGAACCTCTGTGCGGCGAGCCTCAGTGCTTTGTCAGTGAAGGTACGTCTACCAAGAATGACCGGTATACTAAGAATATGATCATGAAAAGCTTTGTTGCTGTGTTTGTTCGTGTCCGCAAGCGTGCTTAGAAGAGTTGGTTTCCTGCTAAATGCGATTACGCCTGCGTGAGTTGTATCTGGGCTGATGTGCATCGCGCCAATGAGTTGCAGAAGGAAGCCCTTTAGCAGCATGAAGTTCACCACCCCGACGCTTCTGGTCCTGTCTACCACAAACGCCACGTCCATCCCTTTACTGGTTTCACAAGGACTCGGGGCTGTGAGGATAAATGGGTAAAGTCAGCATATACGAGCCAAGTGGCCCACCAGGCCGGAGCTTATCTCGGTTTCTGTAGCATGAAGCGACTAGGAATATTTCTACTCCCCTCTGGATGAGATGCTAGTCCTTGATCTCAGGGTTACCCCCAGCATTAAATTAGCCGGTACTCATTTCTACATGAAGCACTGTGAGGGTTAAGTGTCTTGCCGAAGAAAACAACTGAAAGTCTTCAGCCAGGACTCGAACCCGGACCGCTCGATCCGGAGACGAGCGCACCAACCATGAGGCCACCGCGCTGCGCATGAGGATAAATAGTCATAGTTAAATCCCTCACCCAGAGGTTAATGTGTTTGCTTAGGGCCAACAAACCTATCTAGTAAAATAATCAAGATACCGAAACATTAACGACACTTCAAAAATTAGCTAGATCTGGGAGAGGAAGGGCCTCCAGATGGAAGGATTATGACGCAGTGCAGTGGAAGCCGAAAGGAAGCTGTAAGGCTGACACCTCTTATCACTCCTAGGAGAGTCGTCGATGGCCTATGCTCCAGTGAGAGTGAACGGCCTAAGTAAGTATTAAGTAAGTAAGTATTGGCATGAGACCCCGTAAGTTTACATCCACGAGGCGGTTAGGAGTTAAAATGCTGTCCCTTGATGGGAAGCGAGAAATTCCATGAAGGGCTTGTTACTCTCAAGCATTCTGTCATGTTGCTCCAACATTTCGCGGATACAAATTAAAACTCTTGCGCAAAAATAGGATGATAAGAAAAATGTTCGTCCCCAGAACAAACCAGAACCAGACTAGCATACAGAAGTCTAAATGCTTGTCTTCCTTCGGCCCTTCATGATATCCTAGCACACCCCACCCCCAAAGAAGAATACCTAGATTTAATGTATGGCTGTACTTGTCCACGATGAAAAGGCTGGAGAATTCGACAAAAGTGTTCCGTTGACGGTGATTCGCGGTTTTTTTTCCGCGATTCCTTCTGCCGCGTGGCTGTTAATTTCGGTTGTTATTCTAATTTTGTTATTCAAGACGTTTGCTGAGGGTTTGTTTCCTCTTTGTCTTCGATCAATGATTCAGACATTTTTTGTCAGATTCAGGACCACGTGAAGACCAGGATCAGCCTTCCTTCAAGACTGTAGTTTAGGTTAGGTCTTAAGAACCTTTCAGAATTATATGCCATCGTATCACAACCCTTCTATAATATTGTTGTCGAAGCCTTCAGTCTACCGCTGGTCAAAGGAACACTGTGTGGGATGGAGTTTGTACGTGTTCGTGTCAGAATGGTAGATATGTGATTAAAAAAATTCATACAAAAAACAACAACCTTTACGATTTCCAGATCCATACCAGCTTGTACTTACGACAGATTAACTTGACAATGTCTTGGGTTGCATCGTCAAGGTTAGCATAGTCGTCTACAAAAAACAGATTTTCCCCGCCGATCATCGCTAACACACGGCGGAACCTGTGTTTCTCGGCGTCTGGACCGATGCCAACGACGACAATGCGGACACCTCTGAACTGCAAATTAAAATGAAACCAAACAACTGCTGTAAAACTAACACCGGTATTAGATATTTAAATTCGGGGGGGGGGNGGACTCCGATATAAAAAGGACTGGTGTGCTCGTCGGAAATTTTTAAAAGAACCCTCAAGAGGTATCAAGATCCTGTTTTGTGGGCGTGGCTTAAAATGTTTTTCGCACCCAAGAGGCACCAATAGAGTCCTAAAGTGATGACGTCACAAAAATGAAATTTTTGAAATTATGGGATATGGTGTCATATTCTTATAGAGGATCCTAAAAGATGCCCTCATCCCAAAAATTAGCTCAGAATTGCAATTCCCGATAGAGATATAAGGGATCAAAGTTTGATAGCATCCCATACAAACCCTTCAAAATTTGTTTCAGNAGCATCCCATACCAACCCTTTAAAATTTGTTTGAGTTCCTTCAGTTTACAACCGACTCAAAATTAGAGAGGTATATATGGGGCAGTACCAAATTTTCATCCTTTATATTTCGGCTGGGAATTACAATTAAGAGGTAATTTTTGGTAAAGACCCTTTTTAAAGGACGCTCTATTCGAAAATGGCGCCAAATCCCATAATTTCTCAAATTAATTTTTTTTGTGACGTCACACTTTAGGACTCTATTCTAAAGCAACAAATTATCTCGTCAAATTTTTTTCCATCTCAATACCCTAAAGGGTACCCCAAAAGATTCCACTGTGGAGCTTTTGAGGCTTAACACCCAAAGAGGCACCAAAACGGCTTTTTTAACCCCTTCTAGGAATGACGAGCACCCCTGTCCTTTTTATATGGAAGTCCCCCCCCCCGGATTTAAAATTCCTCGGTATCCGATGGTAACGACGGTAACAGTCCTAGTCCAGCACAATGTCACTTTTAGAAATGCTCGAAACAATAGCATGACGTAACAGCATGGCGGTTCAGTCTACTTTACGTATGTACCTGGGTGGACTCTACTTGAGTATACAACGATGGCTGTTGTGAGTCTGACTCAAAGGCCACGTTGACTCAGTTCTTGTGTTAATATCATGGGTGACAAATTATTCCTTAGTTTTGTCGCGAAGTTTCAGCCTCGATTTGTAATTTCACATGTGAAATAACAAAATTTCCATGGCAACGTTTGGCGTCAAATTTCTCGATACAATAAAAAAGTCAAAAACACACGATTGTAAAAGTAATTTGGCGCGGTGGCCTCATGGGTAGTGCGCTCGTCTCGGGATCGAGCGATCCGGGCTCGAGCCTAGGCCAGGGACATGGTATTATGTTCGTAGACAAGACAATTTACTCTCACAGCGCCTCTCTCCACCCAGGTGTAGAAATGGGTATCGGAGAATTTTTATGCTGGGGGTAACCCTGCGGTGGACTAACATCCCACCCAGGAGGGAGTAGAAATACTCTTAGTCGCTTCATGCTACGGAGGCTGGGATAAGCTCCGGTCTGATGGGCCACTTGGCTCGTATGCAGACTTTAAATTGTATACTCTTGAAGTTAGGAAATAATATCACTTGCGTTTTGTCAAAATTTTAATAATTTCTCTCGCCTAAAGACTCTGGATATTATAAGAATTTGGAGAAAACGCGCGTTAAATTACTTCCTACTTTCACTCGTCACCATTTGGTTACCCGATCATACGAATTTGATCGAGCGCTTTGTCTCTTGATCGCGATGTTTATCTTTATAAATACCTCATGTTTTGTTCTGTTTGTTGTTTGAATTCTCGTGTATCATGGTAAATTTTACACAATCGTATTAAATTCTAGACGTTGCTCAGCACGAGCTTAAGGATGCTACGCTATGTTGCTCCGTCGATACAGCATGAAATGTTGCATCGTTTTTTCAGATAGGTATCGACTCATAACTCTTAGCCTGACTTTTAAATTTGAGCAAAAGCTCTATTTTGCACACAACACACAACGACAAGTAGAAAGGCGCCTATCTCAACTTAGTCCTGGCCAAGATATATAACGCGCATTTTTCTCGTTCCCCAATCACCTGATTTTCTGGCCAGTAAATGAGATTGCAAGATTTTTTCAATCAAATTCGGGTTCTGGTCACGGTTTAGCATGAAAACAGACCTCACAGAACGCGACTCCGAATTCGCGCACTGATCGAATAATTGTTTGTTCTCGTCCTTCAATCAAAACATTTCCGAAAGTAGCAAGGCACTGGACTTGATCATGTTTCTTCTGTTCTGAAAACTAAAATTAAAGAGCTGAACGTGAAATATCACCCAGTTTACCACCATAGTTGCTGAAGAAATTAAACATGATGAAAATGACTCGGAGAAGACGACATTGAGTGGCAGCGTGGAAAATTTAGACTTCGAACTCACTCAGGCCAATGTTATAACTGCCATCGGTTTTGTGCAATTCTCGGGAAAAACACCATGCATGGGGAAATTAATCTCAGGAAGGCCTAATCCTAATCCAGCACTCATTTCATTATAGACTACATCACTTGCAAACAATTTTTACGTTAAAATTTCGTACGTCTAATTTTCGGAAATTATTTTATCTTATTTCGGTCAAATCTCTGACAAAAATTTGGGACGTTTCGTTGGAATGTACCCAAAGTAAATTTGCGTCTACGGAACGCGAATTAGATTGAAGCGACAGATCTGTGAAAATGAATGTGTTACTGCACCCTACCGGTTTTACAGATACACCGACGAGAAAATTTCACAAATTCCATCAAGCCGTCACTGTATCTCAAGCAGTGCCTCAGGACGAGGTCGGTGCATAAAGTACTTAAAAGCTACTAAAAAAATTTCTTCTGTACTGTACGCTTAAAAATTTCGTACGCCTTTTTATGGGACTAATTTCCTTCAAATAACGACTTCCAGTTATTTCTCCATGTAGCCTTAGAAAAATCGTACGTCTGAATTGCCATTTGAAACCTGCAGCTGTGCAAGCGCTCTTACCACTTTTTTTTTTTTTTTTAACAATTTGGAATTTTGAAAGTCTCGTAACCCTAAATGTCCTTCTTTCAGTCTTCTCAGAGATTGCATTTATCTTGTAATATTTCTGAATGTTCCTCAAAACTTCGACAAAACGAAAGAACCTCGCCCTTTTACAGACGACCTCCAGTCGTGGGCACTACATAAACCTTGATGACAAAGGAAAATTTAGTGGTGAACATGGCTGATAGTGGACGGTAGCTCAGTCAATCAGATTGCAGCATTCACATGAGCGTGCAAGTAGAATTCTGCTCCCTCATTGCCTAACCTTGATGGCTTCAACATCCAGGATAAAATCCTCCGTATCACGGTGTGATCTTCCATCGGTGTACAAAACCATGGCACTCCGAACTCCAGCCCTTTGTCCACTTTCATCTCTGAACATGAACTCCCTGGCCATCTTCAATGCTTTGTCAAGGCGGGTAGGTTGGTCCAGCTTGGTAATATTGTAGGTTATCAAATCATCGATGGCTTTGTTGCTGTGATAAAGGTCGTCGTTGAACTTGTTGTGAAGCGTGCTTTTCTTTTCGAACGTTTCAAGCGATACGTGGGTTCCGTCGGTTGAAACGTTAAACTGGTTCACTAAACTCACCAGCGAGTCCTTCAGTTTTGGAAGGTTTGCGTTCGTGATACTTTTTGTCGTGTCAACTAACAAACCAAGATCAAGTTTGCATTTGGAAGNTTTTTTCCATCTCAATACCCTAAAGGGTACCCCAAAAGATTCCACTGTGGAGCTTTTGAGGCTTAACACCCAAAGAGGCACCAAAACGGCTTTTTTAACCCCTTCTAGGAATGACGAGCACCCCTGTCCTTTTTATATGGAAGTCCCCCCCCCCGGATTTAAAATTCCTCGGTATCCGATGGTAACGACGGTAACAGTCCTAGTCCAGCACAATGTCACTTTTAGAAATGCTCGAAACAATAGCATGACGTAACAGCATGGCGGTTCAGTCTACTTTACGTATGTACCTGGGTGGACTCTACTTGAGTATACAACGATGGCTGTTGTGAGTCTGACTCAAAGGCCACGTTGACTCAGTTCTTGTGTTAATATCATGGGTGACAAATTATTCCTTAGTTTTGTCGCGAAGTTTCAGCCTCGATTTGTAATTTCACATGTGAAATAACAAAATTTCCATGGCAACGTTTGGCGTCAAATTTCTCGATACAATAAAAAAGTCAAAAACACACGATTGTAAAAGTAATTTGGCGCGGTGGCCTCATGGGTAGTGCGCTCGTCTCGGGATCGAGCGATCCGGGCTCGAGCCTAGGCCAGGGACATGGTATTATGTTCGTAGACAAGACAATTTACTCTCACAGCGCCTCTCTCCACCCAGGTGTAGAAATGGGTATCGGAGAATTTTTATGCTGGGGGTAACCCTGCGGTGGACTAACATCCCACCCAGGAGGGAGTAGAAATACTCTTAGTCGCTTCATGCTACGGAGGCTGGGATAAGCTCCGGTCTGATGGGCCACTTGGCTCGTATGCAGACTTTAAATTGTATACTCTTGAAGTTAGGAAATAATATCACTTGCGTTTTGTCAAAATTTTAATAATTTCTCTCGCCTAAAGACTCTGGATATTATAAGAATTTGGAGAAAACGCGCGTTAAATTACTTCCTACTTTCACTCGTCACCATTTGGTTACCCGATCATACGAATTTGATCGAGCGCTTTGTCTCTTGATCGCGATGTTTATCTTTATAAATACCTCATGTTTTGTTCTGTTTGTTGTTTGAATTCTCGTGTATCATGGTAAATTTTACACAATCGTATTAAATTCTAGACGTTGCTCAGCACGAGCTTAAGGATGCTACGCTATGTTGCTCCGTCGATACAGCATGAAATGTTGCATCGTTTTTTCAGATAGGTATCGACTCATAACTCTTAGCCTGACTTTTAAATTTGAGCAAAAGCTCTATTTTGCACACAACACACAACGACAAGTAGAAAGGCGCCTATCTCAACTTAGTCCTGGCCAAGATATATAACGCGCATTTTTCTCGTTCCCCAATCACCTGATTTTCTGGCCAGTAAATGAGATTGCAAGATTTTTTCAATCAAATTCGGGTTCTGGTCACGGTTTAGCATGAAAACAGACCTCACAGAACGCGACTCCGAATTCGCGCACTGATCGAATAATTGTTTGTTCTCGTCCTTCAATCAAAACATTTCCGAAAGTAGCAAGGCACTGGACTTGATCATGTTTCTTCTGTTCTGAAAACTAAAATTAAAGAGCTGAACGTGAAATATCACCCAGTTTACCACCATAGTTGCTGAAGAAATTAAACATGATGAAAATGACTCGGAGAAGACGACATTGAGTGGCAGCGTGGAAAATTTAGACTTCGAACTCACTCAGGCCAATGTTATAACTGCCATCGGTTTTGTGCAATTCTCGGGAAAAACACCATGCATGGGGAAATTAATCTCAGGAAGGCCTAATCCTAATCCAGCACTCATTTCATTATAGACTACATCACTTGCAAACAATTTTTACGTTAAAATTTCGTACGTCTAATTTTCGGAAATTATTTTATCTTATTTCGGTCAAATCTCTGACAAAAATTTGGGACGTTTCGTTGGAATGTACCCAAAGTAAATTTGCGTCTACGGAACGCGAATTAGATTGAAGCGACAGATCTGTGAAAATGAATGTGTTACTGCACCCTACCGGTTTTACAGATACACCGACGAGAAAATTTCACAAATTCCATCAAGCCGTCACTGTATCTCAAGCAGTGCCTCACGACGAGGTCGGTGCATAAAGTACTTAAAAGCTACTAAAAAAATTTCTTCTGTACTGTACGCTTAAAAATTTCGTACGCCTTTTTATGGGACTAATTTCCTTCAAATAACGACTTCCAGTTATTTCTCCATGTAGCCTTAGAAAAATCGTACGTCTGAATTGCCATTTGAAACCTGCAGCTGTGCAAGCGCTCTTACCACTTTTTTTTTTTTTTTTAACAATTTGGAATTTTGAAAGTCTCGTAACCCTAAATGTCCTTCTTTCAGTCTTCTCAGAGATTGCATTTATCTTGTAATATTTCTGAATGTTCCTCAAAACTTCGACAAAACGAAAGAACCTCGCCCTTTTACAGACGACCTCCAGTCGTGGGCACTACATAAACCTTGATGACAAAGGAAAATTTAGTGGTGAACATGGCTGATAGTGGACGGTAGCTCAGTCAATCAGATTGCAGCATTCACATGAGCGTGCAAGTAGAATTCTGCTCCCTCATTGCCTAACCTTGATGGCTTCAACATCCAGGATAAAATCCTCCGTATCACGGTGTGATCTTCCATCGGTGTACAAAACCATGGCACTCCGAACTCCAGCCCTTTGTCCACTTTCATCTCTGAACATGAACTCCCTGGCCATCTTCAATGCTTTGTCAAGGCGGGTAGGTTGGTCCAGCTTGGTAATATTGTAGGTTATCAAATCATCGATGGCTTTGTTGCTGTGATAAAGGTCGTCGTTGAACTTGTTGTGAAGCGTGCTTTTCTTTTCGAACGTTTCAAGCGATACGTGGGTTCCGTCGGTTGAAACGTTAAACTGGTTCACTAAACTCACCAGCGAGTCCTTCAGTTTTGGAAGGTTTGCGTTCGTGATACTTTTTGTCGTGTCAACTAACAAACCAAGATCAAGTTTGCATTTGGAAGTGTCTGAAAGAATAAGAAAACGTGCCACAATCAGCTAAAGTTTAGAAGAATTGTTGTTTGTTTTAAAAGTGTTACCTTCAGAAAATAAAATCTTAAGTATTTCTACTACTATTACAATTTGTCTACACACTAAACTGGTTGGCTTTTTGCTCCAGTTTTGTGAAAAGATACTGTAGGACGAAAGATAAGACACAGTGAGCCATAAACTCCGGCATACCTAACAAGTGCGTCATTTAACTGTAAGACTTAACAAAGTCGACATATTCCCGCCGCGGAATAGTCATGCCAAATTTATAGAGTAGGTGTGTGTCGAAAAAGGTCTTGTAACCTGACCCTATTTGATGTTATTTATCGAAAACTAATACCCCCCTTAAGGCACAAACCACGCAAATGACACCCTGCTTAAAGAAAAACGATAACTATGAATAGCGTGCGCAGATCGTTCATTTTTATTTCTTTTGTGTATTAAACACGGAAAAATCTAGCATTAACTTAGATAGTTAGCTCTGTATTAATAGACCAGATATTTTTCGGCGTACGTAGCTGGGCGTTTCCTAAGAGATTGAACTGATGGGCAATTTGAAAGAACTCTATCTAAGGATCACACCGGAATCACAACGACATAAAAGAGGCAAAAAGCTTATCCTATTTAAGGACTAAAAAACTCAGAATGTTTGTTAATCACTGCTTTAACAAGTCTGAAATCATTGACGGCATTTTATTGCTGTCCTAGCCCAGGGAAATGGCTGGAGGCTGATTTAATAACCGTAATGTCAGAGTAGCATGTAAAGTAAAGTCTGCCTACGAGCTAAGTGGCCCATCAGGCCGGAGCTTATCACGGTTTCTGTAAAATGAAGTGACTAGGAATATTTCTACTCCCCCTGGATGGGATGCTAGCAGCTGGTTCTTTGCAGGGTTACCCCCATCATTAGATATTTCGGTAGCCATTTATACATCTGAGGCACCGTGAGAGTCAAGTGTCTTTCCCAAGAACACAACTTAATCTCCCTGGCCAGGGCTCGCACCCGGATTGCTCAATCCAGAGTCAAGCGCACTAACCATGAGGCCACCGCACCTCTACTACAGTAGCGTGTGCCGGGAGTTGAACTCGGAACAAAATTTCCAATTCCGTCAGTTTATCGTCGTAATGGACGACTTGGACAAAGGTCCTTAGGACTTTAAGTCCATCTGCTCATCACTCGGCTATTTACTTCTTCTCCCATTTCACCAGTTCCCAGTAATCCTATTCCTATCGCTTACCTCTAGCATTTACCATTAAAGATCCAAGACAAAGAACCGCAAAACACAAGAATTTCATCTTGTTTTACCTGGAAACAATTGTGTATGAATAAACGAATGGGTGTCAGTTGAAACTTTTCTACCCAATGGTGCGACTGTTATTACAATGAGCCAAACGCATAACAATAAGAATGATGATATTTACTAGGAAAAATAATTTTCCAATTGGCAAACATTCAAAATAAAAACGCATTAAATGCTGGACAAGCTTGGCAATTTAACTCTTTGTTTGGAAGATGCACAAAATAACACTATGAGCGGTCAGACGTATGGTTCGTCTAGATATCGCAAATTCGGTTGGAAATGATTTGTCTGTTAACGTTTGAAGACAATCGGTGGTTTTATTGCAACTTTGAGCAATTTTCTTTTGCAATGCTGACGATTTAAGTGTATATCATTCGAGTTTTGCATGGGAAATTCAAAAACACATTTCGAAAAATCTGATACCGCCTAACTAAGACTTATTTCCAAGCCACTTTTTTTTTTGCAGTGAAAGAGCACAAAAAGAAAATTCCGCCTTCCCCATTGAAGAAGCGGTAGTTAGCAAAACCTTAGCCTTATGCTCCACTCACAGCCGCGAAGAGGATGTGTGAGCGACTTAAACGTCCAAAAGATTTATTAAATCGTTACATGATTTATTAAAAATAATCTTCTTTAATGTTCAATATTCCTACCTTTCCCTTTGCCCTGACGCTTGTGATTGATCAGAGAACTGCCAGTGATATAATACTCTCTGCAACCGCAGATCAAGAATGGCGAGAACTGTACTGATTTACGCCTTTTAAGCCGCATGTAATTAAGGCTTACGAGTGCATTGGTAGCATTTTCTTTTCCTCTATGAGTGAGCGGATGCATCAGATAAAAGCCTTCGTTCTTGTTAATAATGTCATACTGATTGCCAAACCATCAACTAGATGTCTAATCTCCTTTAGGCCTAGGCATATCACAAGTAACATCTCTAAACAGGTGAGATGTTACACGATACAAAATGGAATTGATAGCTCAAAATTGGAAGAGTGCTGTTTAGGTTACACCTGCCTAGACTTGCTGGAGTTTCTGATTACATTCTTTTGGGTGTGCTTCTCATTTTACTTAGCGAATATTTTTCCTTCTCTACCCAATCGAAAGACACCCAAAGCTTAAAACATAGGTGATTTGGTCAGCCAGGCCCACAACTGATATGTTTTAATCGAAACATCAATTGGATAACAGCAAACAGGATAAAATACATCGAGAAAATATGCTTGAAAAACTCTACCAGATGTCGATGTTTTCAATTTCCCGTCGATCACAGCTTATACTTAACTATCCCATTTTAAAATTCTCTTCAAGTTAAGATAGTAATGTCTAATTAGACTGGACTATTATATTTAACTGTCTATCAATGACAATAGGTTCTAGGATTTCAGTGACTTTCCCGGCCTGATGACACAGATTTTAACAGAACGATTGATTGGCTGAAAGAGCAATGACCAGCTACTTTTTCTTGCGTTTGTAAACTCAAGTTAAAAGCTACTGTTGAGCACGAAAATCGAACTCCAAGTTCACAAATTTTTACTATAAAGACGACTTTAAAATCAATTTTTAAGTGAGTCATTTCTTTGCGAGTGAGTGTATTCCGAAACGTTTGTTTCAAGGGAATAAAGGCGATGATAAAGAAAACAACTAAACTCACATTTAACAATGACGTTTAGAGAAAATGTCCTCCAAAATTCACGACGTTGTATCGAAGTCATGCTCATACGACGCCCGCTGTTCATCGATCATTTTCACGTGACAATGGGAGATCACTAAATAACTATTTTGTAGGCAGCAAGAAATTAAATTGATTGTTTGAACTACTTGGGTTTTGGAAATCGGGGGGGAAATAGTTACCGGAACGATTTTACATTAAATAACTATATATCGCAACGATCGGATTTGAAAAACAGAAAAGGCGCCTAATTTGTCTGTGGCTTAGTCCTCATTATATAAAGGCCTGAACAAATGCACGTTTTATTTTAACGCAACAGTTTAAAACTTTGGCGAGAGCTGCAGTGATTAACATCCTTTTAAGCCGCATATAATCTAGGATCGCGCGTGGGTAGCATGCAGTTATTTGCAATTTAAGGGAGTGGATGCATTAGATAAAACGGAGCATTCTTTCTTGCTAACATTATCACACTGACTACCAAGCCATTAACTGTATGTCTTATCTCCTGAATGAACTGAATTGATAGCTGAAAATTGGAAAAGTGTTGTTTAAGTTATACCTGCCCAGACTTGCTGGAGTTTCTGATTACGTTCACTTGGGTGTGCTTCTCATTTTACTTAACGAATATTTTTCCTTCTCTACACAATTGAATCTTTAATCTTTAATCATTATTATTAATACACGGCACAAAATTCATCAGGTATAATAAATTCTGATAAAATGTCTAAGATCCTAAACCTAAAATTCTAGTCCTAATATTATATTAATTTTGAACGACACTCAAAGCTTAAAGCAAGGGTTCTTTGGTCAGCCAGACCCACAATTTGTTTAAATTAGAAAACAATGTTCTCCAAAACACGGGACGTTGTATCGGAGCGATGCTCACACGACGCCCTTTGTCCATCGATCACTTTCATGTGACAATAAGAGATCACTGAATAACTATTTTGTAGGCAGCAAGAAATTAAATTGATTATTTTAACTACTTGGGTTTGGAAATCGGAGTGAAATTAGTTACTGAAAATAACTAGGTTTTGAACACTTCAGATGATTGCTTGCATCAAAGGAACGATTTTACATTAAATAAGCACGTTTTGCAACGATCGAATTTGAAAAACAGAAATAGCGCCCAATTGGTCTGCGGCTTTTTGTGCTTTGAAGAGTCCTCATTATGTTAAGGCCTGAACAAATGCACTCATTTTTTAACGAAACAGTTTAAAACTTCGGAGAGAGCTTCACTGATTGACACCCTTTAAGTCGCATATAATTTAGGATCTCGCGTGGGTAGCAGTTACTTGCAATTAAGTGAGTGGATGCGTTAGATAAAACGAAGCATTCGTTCTTGCTAACAGTGTCACACTGACTACCAAACCATTACCTACAAGTCTTATCTTCTTTAGACCTGGTCATATTCCAAGTAAGATCTCTAAACAGGTGAGATGTTACATGGTAAAAAATGAAATTGATAGCTGAAAAAATTGGAAGAGTGCTGTTTAAGTTATACCTGCCAAGACTTGCTGGAGTTTCTGATTACATTCACTTGGGTGTGCTTCTCATTTTACTTAAAGAATATTTTTCCTTCTCTACGCAATCGAAGGACACTCAAAGCTTAAAGCAAGGGTGTTTTGGTCATCCAGACCCACAGTTTTTTTAAATTAGAAAACAATGTTATCCAAAATACGGGATGTTGCCAAGACGGGGTAATGCCCTTTGTCCATCGCTGACTTTCACGTAATAATCAGAGAGTAATAATAGCTATTTTGTAGGTAGCGGTAGATTGATTACTTGAAGTACCTGGGTTTTGGAAATTGGGATGAAATTAGTTATTGAAAATAACCACGTTTTGAACACTTAAAAGATTGCTTTTATCAAAGTAACGATTTTAGATTAAATACGCGCATATTCCTATGATCGAATTCGAAAAACAGAAAAGGCACCTAATTAGTCTGCGGCTTTCAGTGCTTTGGGTCCCCATTATGTAAACGTGATGTTACACGAACCGATTTTTAATCCATGTTACGCGAAACAACTTTTAATGCAACTTTGTCATGGGAAAGGTCGACGTTATGTTACACGAGACGATTTTTATTGCAACATTGTACAAAACCCGGGCAACAATGTTGCAGGTTTTTTAATCGAACGCGCATTTTTCATGTGAAAACAACAGCTAGTTTAACAAAACTAGACCATTATGTTTAGGTTTCTATCAATGACAATATGTTTCGAAGCCATGTTCCTGATAGTGTTTCTTTAAATCAGTTACAATTTTCTCAAATACAAATTTTAACAGAACGATTGACAGACTAAAAAGAGTGCGAAAACTAGCAACCATCTTTGCGTTTGTAAACACAAGTTAAAAGTTAGTGTTTTGCCTTAAAATTGAACTCTAAGTTTACATATTTTTACAATAAAGACGAAGGTGAAATCATACCCGAAGTGATGCTCACACGACGCCCATCGTCTGGCGATTACTTTAACGTTAGATCACTTTTACTGAAGAAGGAGTCGCAATCAGAAGCGCAGAGTGGTACGACCTAGTGAAAATCAAACCAACGGAGTCACATGCAGAACATCGATTCTGCTTATGACTCTGTCGCTTATGATCTAGTGAAAACTAGATTGTCGCAAGCAGACGCCGATGAATAAACCAATCACACTGCTCGATTCCAGGCATCGTGATGAGTAGTATAGGTTCTTCCGCTTCTGCTTCCGACTCCAACAAACTAGTTTTCACTGGATCATAAGCGACGGAGTCGTGAGCGGAATCGAAAGAAATGGAAACGTTTTGGTTCTTCCGACTGCGATTCCGTCGAGGTTACGACTCCGCTTACAACTCCGATTTTCGATTTTCACCTGATTGTAAGCGTTCTTACGATTCCGACTTCGTCTCCGACTCTATCGCTAGTGAAAACCAGCAAGTGATCACTATATTAACTAGTTGAAATTAATAGCTGTTTTGTTGGTGGCATATTTTGAACCAACTGGGTTTAATTTGGAAATCGGGATGAAATTTAATATTGTAGATATCCACACGTTTTGAACACTTCAGACGAGTGCTTGTATCAAAGTAATGATTTTACATTTTTGAGCCGGCATACATTGTTTGGCAACCAATTTATCTGCGACTTTCAGTGCTTTGAAGAGTCCCCATTCTGTTAAGTCCCGACCAAACACACGCAACATTTTAACGCCACAGCTTAAAACATTTATTGCTGCGCGTAACATGTTGCACATGTTTGGTTAACTTGTTGCAGCAACACCTTGCAACATGTTGCGTGTTTGATGCCTTGTCATTTTGGGGCGATTTTGAATTTTCATATCATCTCAATAGTCTCCAGTTTACTATCATCAGTTTGTTTTAATTTAAGGCGCACCTTAACAGAACTAAACGCGCGTTAAAAATGTTTGTTTTGTGTGTTATACCTAAATCGAGACAGATCCACAATAATACAGATGTAAGAAAAAAAAACATTTTCGGACAACTAATGACTACTAAGACATTTACTTTAACTATCTAAGATTAGTGTCTGATTCTCGAGCGCAGGCGGAGGTGAATACCAACCCCGAGAAGATTTAATTTACTCTGTCATGCGAAAACCTGACTTTCGGTGCTGTTCATTTAACCTCCCAAAATATTGATGTGTCGTGTGTTCCTCTACGTAATTTGACATTGGCATGGGAACCGCGTTTTGACATGCAGGACGTCAAGCGAGCCTTGTTTCCATGATTTTTGCAAGATGGCGGCGCGTCGCAGAAAACGCCTGGTACACGCTGTTGCTGCAATAGACTAGCATCCCATCCAGGGGGGGGGGGGGGGGGGNCCTGATGGGCCACTTGGCTCGTATACAGACTTTCCACGTGCACGCTATTGTTTTTGTAGTGAATTTTCTTTGCTTTGTGCACGTAGAAAGATGATTACGTAATATTCCCTCAGTGGAATTGAAAAAAAAAAAAAGAGTTCAGACCAAGCCGAACAGGATGAATGGGCAAAGATTTTAAAACACTTCAAACTACGCGAGTAAATTGAAACATTTTTAATTGGGTTAAAGTTGTGACATAAATATGCTAGCATAACTCTACAATCAGATTTAAGAGAATAACTGGAGGGGGGCTGGGTAGAAACAAGATAAGTGAAAGTTTGTGCCGGAGGTAATATTTCAAGAAAAACTACAATTACTTCTTGAATCCACTCTCTTAAATAGCCCCTGCTCCATAAATTGAAGTGCGCAAATGTTGTTCCCCGGACTAATCTGAAATCAGTTTCGTTCCCCTTTAGGAAGCATTAACCGAAAGAAGTTTCCCCAAGCTATTAACATCATGCAATTTATTCTTAAACTATACTGTATACTATTCTTAAGTGGAAGTTTACGAGAATATGGAAATCCCTAACAGTGTACCAACATTTTCAATATATTATTTAAACAAAGCTCAATACAATCAGTACTAATAGAGAAAATTATGCTCTGAGACTATAAACCGTCCCGAGTTAAAGGACAAATCAGAGAAATACATCATAAAATAGGAAATCCTCGCATGACAAACAGAAACTTAATGTGAATTTCTTTCGCCATTCTTTAGTTGTTTCTTTAGCTAGCGTCCAATAATAATACAAGTCTTATTGTAATCCCTGTGAATTGTATTTAGATTGTTATTAAATTTTACTTTGCTGTTCGTTTTTCAGTTATCCATATTCAATAATTTTAAAAATGTTGACAAGTTTCTTAGTTTAAATAAAGGTTATTTGAGTAAAATAAAGTGTGTCTTAATATAACGAATAAAAGATAAACTTGTCGCGGGATAAGAAGTTATTTAATAACTTTAACTTTGAGATTGAAAAGCGAAATTCAAAGGAAATTAAAATGTTGCCGCTCTCGCGGTATGCTGCGGACAAAAAAAAGATTATTATCTTTAGCAATATTTAAAACTTTGTGGGAGACACGGTGATTTGCTGTTAAAAATACACCACAGGCTTTACAGTCCCGTGTAGATTACTTCTCTGTTGTGCTCTAAAGCAAGGCTATTTAAACTCATACTTTCTTTCTCCTTTTCCGCGCATATCCGGGTGCCGTTGAATTATCAAAGTGATTGGCCGAAAATATGCTGCGAGAAGACTGAACTGTAATGGACAAGGAAGCCACATCAAGAGGTCCGATCCGGCTCAATCTCGTCAAGTGTTCATGATTGAGCGCTGGGCGGCGTGGGTTTACGAAATAAATAAAGTCATGAAGTGGTTTTATTACAACGAGTTCTAATTTTCTTGTATATCGCTTCTAACTACAAACGTTATTTAAATCACTACAATTTTTATACCAGTGAAATAAGGCAACTTTCGTCGATATCAAACTAATATCGATTCATGGGCAACATATGTAGATAAAAATGTCGATTTAGCTAATAATTTCTGACTTTCTTTTTAAAAAGCTATAACTGGCGTATGCTTGAGTGGGTGTCGGTGGGTTTTAATACAGAAAGTTTTATCTGATGTTTTAATCAGACCAATGATATAAATAAAATACCGCAAATGTCATAAGCCTTAGTGAAATGACTCGATGTAATATGCCCGAGAACTGTGAAAAAAACCCCGCAAAAAATGAATTTCAAACTCACAACATTACATGAAGTAATAACGAAGGGTAGATTTTCAATACCAGTTAAAAGTGTTAAACGTGTTGTGGTCTATTTGGACCCGCTTGCAAAAAATACAAGGGCAGTCTTAAAATCTCTTCAAATCATCAACTTCTCTTGCTATCTCGGAAGAAATAATCAGTCTTCATAAAAAGCAACAATTCCTTCTTCGTAATAAAGAACCGTCTGGCTTTTCACACGCTCGTGTTTGGCCAGATGCGACTTTTTTTTGTCTCACGGCTAAACCATGCAGTTGTACTTGATATTGATTTAAAAGAATTTTCTTCATCTGACATAACAGAAGAGTAAATATTTACAGTTATGATCCTTTCAATGGAGCAAGGAAAGAAAAGAAAAGATTTTTTTTTCACTAGACGCGTGGTACAAAAGATAGATTTATTAAAAACTTTTTAATAAAAACTATTAATCGCATAATCTTGCTCTAATGATTTGGTGTTCGCACGCAAAATCATGCAGTTGTGAAAATTCTCCCACCAGTATCGACACAAATAGGGCTGTTCATATAAATTGTCCATTTATTGTTTTCAGTCAGAGAACGGTGTTTCTGTCGAGCCCGGAAACTTACAAGGGAACAAAGACCATTACACTTTATTTTCCTGTTATTAAATATTCCCGATTTCAAATGCAGATCACAATCGAATTTAACCGACGCCGGATAAAACGTCTCGAAAAAGGAAGAAGATAGTCTATTAAAGTGTCATGTTTGTTTATTCCGGGAAAAAAAAAAAACACGAAATATTAATAAAAGCAGACGCATAATGAAAGAAATACAGTTGTAGTTACGGACAAATTTACTCTGAAGAACCACTTGCGAGGGCAGTATTGAACTCTTTTCCTCTTCCAGTCACCACCGCATATCTTCTTGGAAAATCAGCACAACAGATGATGAAACTGACACTCGTTAGTTTCAATCTTATGGGCTTCCTTCTGTTACTTCACTGGCGATTTACTGAAGGTACGTTGGAATTAATCGAAAAATATTTTTTGTCCTTCCATTGCTTTCGGAATCGATCCCTCGTGAAACTTTTTGGAGAAATACAAGAGGATATATTTAGTTGAACTCAAAATACGACATCATTCTCATTTAGATGACTGGCTTATTAATTCACACCGCGGATCCAAGTTAAAAAAAGAAAACAAAAGAAACCTTTAATTTTAACCAATGCTGTTACATATAGATTAACATTCGTCGGGTATTGCTGATTTATATTTTACTTATGTTTACTCAATCAACGATGACAGACGAATATTTTGTATAGGAAGCCATTTCCCAGAGATAGCCGACGTCTACATTATCCCATTGCTTAATATAAAAAAATTCAATAAGGCCGATGTGAAAGTATACTAACCTTGGGAATGATCCAATTGTACTGGGAAATAGCTAACGCGAATTAATTAAGTAAATGTATGAATTGAACGAACTTTACCATTTTGAAGCAGGGTCAGTTTTGTAGAATTTCCAATAATTTTCTAACAATTTGCAGAATGATAAACAAACCGAAAAAAGAAATAAATATCAGACAAACAAATAAATATGGCAATTTTATGACAAAACCCATTTTATTTGTTTCTCATTGTTCGAAATTCATACTAAAAAGACAGCAAAACATTTCGGGGTTGGGGGATCCATTTTCACGTCCATCTATTATTACTAACTTACAGCGTGACAATTCGAACCTGGTCACCTTGAAAAAAACTAACCAATCAAAACGTATTCTGAGAACTATGGACCGGTAGCTTTTTCGTGTCGGCAAGTAATAAGGGTCCGTTTGACATGGATACATAAGTACTTTCGATTCCTCTGGCTTATATACACTCTCAGATTGCGAATTATCATAATTGTTCAAAATCTTGCTCGAAAAATAAGCTTGAAAACTCATTTTGCCGCAGCCATGCTTAAAACCGAAAACGTTGAAAAGCGCACAAACGTTAGGACTCGAAACTTACCAATCAAAAAGTGGCAAAGTTTCCTCAGAGGTTTGCAACTCCTCGCACTTTGTTGGGTCTTCAATTTTGTTAAGAACTGTTTTTCGTATTCTTCAATGTCATAAATTTATTTGAGAACAAGATCGCTATCCTTTGTTCTCAACTGGCCTGGTTCGAGGAGTAGCACTGTAAAATTCTAATTTCTCATTCTGGCTTTCCATTAATTCAAAAGGCCCGTTCGCCTTTTATAAATGTATTGATTATTTAATATCATCAAACATTCTTTTCCTTTTGGAAGTCTACATGATTTTTAGACTTCATGAAGCATAAAAAGGAGGCTTAAAAACAATAACATATAATTCTAAACATATATATAACATATTATTATTACTTTTATCTTAACTGAGTTCTTAAGAGTTGTTGCAATGTATTCGTAGGAGATGGGGTCAAGAGTTGCATTGAATACGTCAAAGTTGGTTGTTATAAGGATAGTTTGAGAGAACCACGCCCGTTACCAATGCTTATAGAAAGCTATCGTTTTGGACTGAACTGGTCTTTTCCAGAGGACCTCATAAACAGGTCAGTGAACTGAATTTGTCTGAAACTTCTGAGGGCGACAATTAATCTATGAAAACAACTTTAATCAAATTTTAAAAGGCGGGGATTAACATGAAGGCCGTATTTTGGCTGGGTATTATGGTTTTAACGCAAAGATCTCTTTCACGTTTCAAGCAGTCAAACATCTCTTAGCTCATCCCACATATTTACGTTTTGGGCTGTTTTGTAATTTTTTTGGTGATTTTTGGGTATGTTTAGTTCCTTGCCCCCGAGTGGGCCGGATTTTTGGGTATATTTGGGGATAAATAGTTTTTCTCAAAAGAGTAGTAGAATTTATGGAAATAGTAAATTTTGAAGATTTGATGTTGTGTTAAAATAGGAATTTGAAGTTAAAAATTGGAAGACGTAGACCAAACGGTTTTTCCACCAGCCTGAGCTGCCCCTTTGGGGGGCGTTCAACTGTCTGGTGGTGTTCCAAAACGTTTTTTTTCCTGTTAATCCCTCTTTAAACTTCCTAAAACGTCACTTAAATTTAGGTAGACCCCCGCCTTNAGTTTCTTTGATAGAACTGAATTGTACCAAACATGTTTTGGCACAAAAAAATTATCAAAGTTAGGCGTTTTTACATGATAAAGTACAGTATAATCAAGAAAAGGTAAAGGGTAAGGCATTTAACTCCCCATATAGGTCGTATCTTTAAGGTAATCTCTTATTTTTAGCCAAGGTACATGCAAGGTTCTTCCACGGATAACATGATACTACGCGAGTTGCACGTTTTCATGAAGATGCATGCGTGGAGAGCCCCCCTAGGCTGTCCACGCGAGCAAAATGAGTGTTTGGAGACCCTCCTGGGATTTCCCGTGAACTGAAATTAATCTATAAATAACTCAAGAGGGTACCTTGGGAATAAGGCCTTCATGGGGGATTCACTCTCTCATTCTTCGTCCTCTCTAACTATGATTTCATTTCAGTCAAGTGTTACGCTGCGCCGAAGCTGTCTCCAAGAAAGGCTACATCATTTTCGGTCTCCAATTTTATGGTGAATGTTGGAGCGGAGAAAACGTTAATCAAACTTATGATAGAGACGGGAACTCAAACCAGTGCCTCTCAGCAGTCAGCAACGGATTCAAACCATGCAACGACGATTCAGACGAGGCGTGTGTTGGAGCTGCAAGAGCAAATTATATCTACAAAATCGTCGAGCCGGGTAAATAGGAAAAGTAATGGATTAAGCGTTAAACTGATCGTCCATTACTTGTAATCGATTTCCCTATAACGATTGATTGGCCATAGCACGTCCAGGCCACTATGTTTCTAGGCAAAAGAGTTATTAAATATATAACTCATAGGGCATCTTTGTGTACAAATGTGTAGATCTGAGTCCAAAACTGCCACTCTTTCGTATGAAAATTGAAGTTTTGTAAACTGTGAATTTTTAAAAATGTCAATGGCTTTATACTGAGTTGATTTTAGCATTTAAAAAGTATTTGACTCTCATTTGCAACCAAAACAGTTAAAACCTCAGCGGAACAGTCTGGGAAAGACACCAAGGAGACAAAAACTAGAAAAGTAAAGCTCTCCTTTATCGGGCCAACGAGTCCCATAGGCCGCCGGAGATTATCCCGGTTTATGCAATATCAAGCGAGTACGTCTATCCCCCCGGATGGGATGCCAGTCTGTCCAACGCTAGGTTACTAATTTACTAAATGATCACTTATTTCGCCGGTACTCATTTAAACAACTGGGTGGAGAGAAGCACCGTTAGTATTGCCTAGGAATACACCTGACCTTGACTCGATCCGTAGCCCAGTGGGCTAACCCTTACGTTATCGTGTCAACTTCCCCAAGTATACTACCGTGGAAATATTTTAAAGGGCCCTAGTTAACCACACCTTTGTTTTTGTTCACATGCGAGAGTTTGACTATTATATTTTATTCGGAGCATGTCGAAACGAAGGAAATCACTGTCAAACTACTAAAGATAATTAAACATACTCTCAGTGGCACGACGGTAAAGCGATAAGATTTCGCTTCACCACGCAATATCAATAATTTCGATGGTATCTAAAATGGTGGAGATTGACTAGGGGCCTTTAAAGTTATTGTTTAACCTATTGAATTTGCAGTAGATGGTGTGTTCTCTGCCTGGTCTGGCTGGAGTTCGTGTAGCAAAACTTGTGGAGGAGGCCAACAAAGAAGAACAAGATCATGTAATAACCCAGGACCGAGCAAATGTGGAAAACCTTGCTTTGGTAACACTGAAGAGGTTGCCGACTGTAACACGCATTCCTGCCCAGGTAAGAATGATTAATACTGTATTATACTAAATACCAGGCTATCATGTCTACGCTAGGTTATTTCTGAATATCGTGACAAAATTATTTTCTTTCAGTCTTCTGCTAAGGCTGCAATCAGATATCTTGTGTAGTCTTAACGATCGTCTGAAGTTTTCCAGACTAACTGAAGAAAGGTTCCACATTCTCGGCGCGTTTGATTGCTTCATTAGGCTACTTAATAATAATTCCACGGGCGAGCGTTGTTAAACAACAGAGTGTTTCTGTCGAGGAACTATCGACGGATAGTTGCCCCGCGGGTGTTCTAATAAAACAAATATTTGCCCGAGAAGCGAAGCTTTGTGAGCAAATATACTAGTTTTAAGAACATAAAATTTCTAAGGGGTAACTATCTGACCGATAGTTCCGAGACATAAACACTCTATTGTCTTTACTGTTCACCACTAAATTTTTCTTCCGTGCCTGTTTAAAAATCATATTAAATTATTTTCAACTTTTTCAGGTGAAAGGCATGAAAGCCAAATGCAAAATTTCAAGAAGAAAATCGCGTCTTTCAATTTTTTTTTCCATAATTATAAGACCGTTTGTTCGCAGAATATTTTGACGGACGACTACTATCCATCCGGGTGTTTTCCTCGGACGGGTACTATGGGCTGATAGTGTCTCATCGCCGATGAACACTATTGCGAAGAAAATTTAGTGGCGAACTATAAAATATGGTAGATATCCAACGAGGCGCTATCGGCTTGGCTGTAATCATCTCATTTCCAACAAGCGCGAGTGGAATAATTGTTTCATTAAAAACGTCCCCAAAATATAGAAAAAATGAAACACCCTAGAAACTTAAGCGTTGGCTTACCATATTTGTTGAGCATGGTATAATGGCCCATTTACCATTATTGCTAAGCCAGTGAAAACTCTTGAATTGCATTATCCTGATTATCTAATGATCCAGACTTTAATAAACGCAGTTATATATAATAATTTATTGCACGGATAAAGGAAAGAGAGATTTTAAATCAGCATGTAAACAGTTTTCCTTCATAAGCTTTCATTTTCTCTTTACATTAACAAGAACCCTGTGTGGACAAGAGCCCCTCCTGCGAGCAGTACAAAGAATGGGAACTTTGCGATCTTGCTGTAGTTCGCAGAGACTGTAAAAAGGCGTGCGGACTTTGTCCTTAATCTTCCATGTACCGTTTCCTAGCAACATACAAAGGTATTGAGTGTTTGTATTTCTTACTCTTACTTTCTAGTTTGCCCTCGTTTCAGTTCTCTGTTTATACGTCTTTCCAGTATTTAGTGAATAACGACCAGTGTTGCTACAGGAAAATGGAAGTCATGGATGCATTTGTCCTTTTCACGGCTTATCTTGCTGCCCAGTTATTTTTTTTCAGTTTTATTGTCAATTTTAGTCAACTGATATAACAAAATGGTTTTGCTTAAAACAAGAACTTAGTAATACAGCCATTACGTTAATGGTGTCCCACCATAAAGTTATGCAAGAAAGTATCTTTACTCAGTTATTCTTGGAAACTATAGAATATTTTTAAAATCATCAGTTAATCTGATAATTCTTCACTCTAGGCTTTTGGGAGATTAAGGAATCATGGATTTGAGCACTTCACAATTTTGATCAAATTTGAAAATCCTTTTTTAAGAGATCTGAACACGTATTTCTGGTCTTCTCAAACTCATTAATAATTCATCAAGTTTAAACAGAGGAAATCACAACCGTGAAGGAGGTTTGGATACCCGGTCTTAATTAGCATAGATTTTGACGATTTTACTTCTCCGTTTTCTCCTTAGGTTTTGTTTCGACTGAGAAGATATATCAAACACTCGAGACAGTGTTTCATCGGCTATCCAAACACCTCGAATTTCGTCAAAAATACTCCGCTGCGCGTCATTTTCTCAACTTTCTTCTCGTGGTTTGGATAACCCGATGAAACACTGTTCCTCGTGTTTGATATATTACTTGAAAAAGGTCTATACCAAGATTAATCCTACCCAATGTTTAGAATACATATGATGTAAGAGAAGGGATTCATAGTTAGAATCTAGAAACTCTCCTTCACTGTGTGTGCATGTCATGAAACCCACACACGCAAAAATAACAATTTAAATAAACACTTTGAAAGACGAAATCCGATAGGAAATCGGGCAATTTCAGTTTTAAGTGGGAAAAAACCTTGTACCAGAATCATTTTTTTAGGTATATTGCAGTCCTCTTCCCCTTTTTTAAGAGCTAAAGATACAAATAGTTGCCTGGAATAACACCAAAAACAATTTCCCATTGGAGCACGAGAAAATAAATTTCAAAGTTCAGAGAAATTGCGCAAACACAGATAAAATTTCATCATCAGTTCCATTTCACCAGTATTTTCAAATGTTTTATATGAACTTCAAAATTTGTTTTCGACATTTGGTGTCAGTTAAAAATGATTTCATTTGAGAAGATATTTAACAACAGTCGCACAGACGTTTGCAATACTATGTAAATAATCTAGGTAAAAAGGTACTATGTACCGCTTCGCGCGCGCTGGTGTATCGCACTAGAGCCCGCTAATCCGCCTGTACTGCAGGCTATATGTAAATAATCTAGGTACACTCGAGCGTCTGTAGGATTCCCTCTCAACAGCGTTCAAAGCCCGGGAAGAATTCTCATATGAAAAGACCGCGGATGCTTGTCGGAAAATTTGAAGTAAACCCCTAAAGGAGGCCTATTCTGGGCGTGGCCCGAACTTATTTGACCTGCCGCTGTTTAATTTAGGAAAGGAGTCCACGCTAGTAGACCAGATTCGAGAGACCAACGGAAATCGAGCCTAAAAACGGAAATGAGAACTTTTCTTTTATCATTATTTCTTCGACTGCACAGGCTGAAAGATACTTTGGCTGCTTTCAGTACTGGCGTTTGGTCATCAACACCCTAAAGGCTGCCGTACACCAGCCGATTTTTTGTCGCGGAACTGCAGATTTTTTGTCGGGGTCAAATCGGGTTAAAATTTGTCGAGCCATCAGTTTGCCGCACACTAGCCGATTTTTTTGTCGCGACTAACTGCGGTGAGGCTTGGGGCCGAGTCATCCAAAATCAAGATGGCGCCTATTCCATTGACAAGACTGTCATGGCATTTCCTAATTGGTTGAGGCGCGCCCGAGCCCCGACAAATTGTCTTGGTCCACCGCACACTAGCCGACAGGCCCCGACAAGACGTTTTGAGATCTAGCACTGTCAGATATCGCCCGACAAGCCCCGATCTTGTCGCAGACTTGTCTGAATTCACCACACACTAGCCGACAAGTGAAGATATTTTGTCGGCCGGCAAAATATCGGCTAGTGTGCGGCGGCCTTAAGTGAGACCAGAATCCTTGATTTTAAATACCCCTTAGCGAGACGACGAGCATTCGCGACCTTTTCATATTGGAGTTCCCGCAGGATCCAAAGTCTGACACAATCGTTTCTTTACACCTCACAGGATGAAGACTGAATTGGCGCGCCATCGGTAAACTGATAAGGAGATCATTCTACTGCTCCCTGTTTAACTAAAATGAAGCTGGAAATTAGACTCGTCCGAATATTCTTCAGCTTCAGTTAATGTCAGAAATTCACTGAAATGAAACAATTGTTAATAAAGTGATGAATTAAGAACAACAAAGTTATTGTGCAAAACTGCTGTTTTCCTTTTGTTTGTACATATATATGTATACCTACCTAAAGCCTGCCATTTGCAACGTCCAGATATAATCAGGTGAAGAAAACTGCGAACAAACTAATATTAGCGCCCAAACTCGCGATAGGGCTAATCTAGACCCTCAAGACCTAGAAGTAATGGCAACAAGACATGGGTCTATATCGGTTAGATAACTACTATTTACACACGTCGATGCAAAGTTGCTGATTTGACAACGTCAGGTTTATACAACAAAACATCTAAAGTGATAGAAAAGAGAGCAAGTAAATCGACGGCCAAAATGTTCCAGTCGACCGATTACTTCACTCGTGCGCGATCGGTAAGGGTTTAATTTGAGGCTTAAGATGGACCTGCTCTTAATGCTACCTTATTTCATACTTTTACATGAAGTTTACATTCATTTCCCTGCTCTGCAATCTGCAGTCTGTGTTTTACAGTCACCACTTTCAGGTGCATTAATTAAGAAAGGATTTTCCGTCTTTCTATATAGAGTTTCACTTATTCACGAGTGAACCTAACTCGATACAAATACGGAGAAAAAATGTTCTGTGGTCTTTTATATTTCCGTTTAGAAAACACCATCAGAAAATAAAAAAAGAAACACTAGTATATTTAGGTTATCAAATGTAAAATCGCTTTGCTTGCGCCATCATTATGCACAACTCAACAGCTGCGCGGAAGGAGACCTCACAGGGAGCCCTCACATCCATTTAGAAAATTTATAAAAGATAAACTTACCTAGCATGAAATGTCAGTCATCTCCCACCCTCAGCCAAACCCCCGGGCGAGAGACTTATCTCCGGGAGAGAGAGAATACAAAATTATGAAAAACTGTCATAAATTAGGACGTGACGTAACCGGACCAGGTGTCTCTCATCCGGGGATTACCTTTAGAACGGTTTTCTACTAAGTGTCGTAAAACCAAAACCAAAGTAATTGCCTGATTATTTTCGACTCTAAACTGAAAACCACTCTATCGTTCCGGTTCGTGTCTCTTGCGGTCAGTTGGTGCATGGTCTGGAACGTACCGGGAATTTGAGGGAGTCTGAGACGGCCGAACATCAGATTGCTCCGAGCGATTTCCTGAGAATTTTCGGCTCCAAGCCTCACACCAGCTGAACGCGTATTTAAAATTCAATTCACCACAAACTGCTCACATCGATAAAGGTAAGCTTGTTTTAACTTATTTTCATTCATTCAGTTTTTTCTTATGATTTTGTTCTATAGATAGTGCGCGCTTGCTTAATTCTTACAGGGGTATTTTCTGAAAAGAAATATAAAGTATAGAAGTCAGTTAGAAGACCTACTGTAAAGATGTTGCTTCGTTTCAATTCTGATCGGTCATCATCCATTTTGGAAACCGTAATGGTAATTTGCATGAATATATAGGTTAAAACAAAACAAAACAAAACAAAAAACCGAGAAGTCATCCCCAAAATTAGAGTATATCGTTGTTGCTTAGTAACCAAACTAGAAAGTGTAAGTTTTTTAAAAGGTCTCTGTGTTAATCTTTACTGTCTGAACTTATTCAAAGCCTGTAAAAATGAAAAATAATTAAGCTTATTATTCCTAAAACCCGCAAAGAACCTTGATAGAACCCAAAAGATGAAATGAATTTTTAACACTAAGTTTTTCAAGTCAAAATTAAAACTCTATCGATGAGTAGTGGATGAAAATAACATAATGAATTATTGACCTCTGGTTATTCATAAAGTTATAAACAAAAACACAAGCTGTTGTGTAAAATTGTTTCTGTAACTCGAACTTAAAGCTTGAGCCACGAAGCTGTCGTAGAATGCAAAGAAAGCTCAAGAAGATCTTTGTTTCGGTGAGTATCTCAACATCAAAGAACCACAAACGAAGTCAATTCCCTGATGTTCAAAATTACTTTAAAAATGATAGTTTTTACTATAGAAAAAAATACACCAAAGAAGTATTTACAAATCGAAAAATATATGCGGTGGTTAGGACTAAGGAAGATTAAGGCGGATTGTGAACGGCAAACTTTCATAAAAATGGGCCATTTTTTTTCAGCTAGCTTTACCGTTCATTGGCGTAGCTTCTTGAAATGTTTTACCGTAAAATACGACCAATGAAACGTTCTCGAACGGACGTAAAAGATTAAAAAGAATTACACGATCCCGGAGTTCAAACCGCCGCTCTTGTAAAATCGGACCGAAGAAAGTCTCCCAAATAGCCGAAAGATTAAAGGGAATGAAAGAATCCGATTGTCACAACTCTCATTCTCGTTTGTGTGACTGAAGCTCAGTCGTACGTACGCTCACGTCGAATCTGGTCGACTTTCAGCCACCTTCATCGAATATGATCGAGTTCAAATCTTTCTGAGAGTTGACAATAGGTTTCGTTGCCCGACCATTGCGTGATTTGTGTCAAGTGCGTTGTGCTTTCATCCTCGTTTGGCCGCACGCGTGTGGTAGTGGATTTTTGACTCTTGTCAACTCTATGGGACTTTCTCTCTCGTTTGCTGTGATAAACAAGTATTCATAAGGGACTAAGCAATGGCCAGCTTTAATCTTTGGGTTTAACAACAGTATAACCTATTAAAAAACATCCTTGAATTTAACTTAAAATGTATATAACTCAAAAACAAGGGCGCTGACCACCATTTTTACAACTTTTTACAAAGTTTAAAACAATTCCATGGAGAGGGGCCAGAGTTACCTTAAATTTTCAAAATTTTGATGCGATAAAGCTGTTGAAGAATAACAACAAAAATGACAGAAATAATCATTGACGACGTAAAAAGCTGAATTGGAATTTGACACTATAGAGTCTATTAAATAGTCTGTAATTTATTGGGAGCAGTTATCGAATACGCATGAAATTCCAGAAACCAAGGCAATAGACGATAAGGATCACTTAAGATATCGCGGACACCATTTCGTTTATTTTAGTTTGGGTGGGTTGATAATTTGTTTGAAAATGTCTTGTTTCAAGAATTGACTTTCTGTGTCGGGATTTCTGCATGATTTCTTTTTTGGAATACCCGAAGAAAGCACAACTTTAACGTTCTCATGATTGTATTTTAGCTAACCGAGTTTCAATCCTCGTACATGAAGATGTGATTAATTTTTAATCTAGTGTCCCGACTAGTTGCCACTGCGCAGGAACCCCGGGGGGGGGGGGTACTT